ACACACCGAACCCAATGTGAGAAAGTGACAAAACACACAGTCCCTACAATACTTCTAACTTACTTTTGTTTAAAATTGTCCACATCCTTTCTTCATCTGGTATGAAAAACAGAAAGACATACTTATTCTTCCTGCTTGTGGACATACACCAGATCATTTTGGTTTTAAACCAAGATGTCTCTCAACTATGACAGCTTCACATATGGTTCAGAATACAGACTGTAGAAGCTCTTTATTCTCACCCATGGTCTCTTACCTGAGTAACAGGTGCTTCCCTCCCTCATTGCCCAATAGGCAGAAGGTGGTAGTTCAACAGGGAACACAAAAAAGTTAACATTAGATAGTGTTTGAATTGTTACTCCACCAACAAATTAATACTTCTGCTACCATTCGCCTATATATTTTTGTCTCTAAAATGAGAATAAATAAAATTATCCATAATATACCTTTATCCTGAGTCTGAATCAGTCTGGAACCATGATCTGTAATCTGCGTGGTGTGTTGTATGGTCTTCATGTCAGGACAGCAGATCCAGCACTTTGAGTGGGCCAGTTGGTCAACTGAGCAGTGCCTGAGATGATTTGTAATTAAACTGGCTAAATAAATGTTAATTTTTTCTGTATTTCCTGGAAGCATATTTCTTTTGCCCTGGATGTCTTTTATTTTTTAATTTAATTAATTTTCCAGATTAATTAACAATGTGATGATCCGATACATATATGCATCATGAAATGATTACTAAGAAAAAATAATTAACACATCCAAAACCTCAGTGCCTCTTAGTGACAGATGTAGTGACAAACTAAAACAATCATTCTTCTTATCACACAGTGTTTCACTTCCTTAATGCTTTACTTTGTACTACAAAAAAATAATACATTTCTCAGTGCTTTTCAGAGAGAGAGAAGTATAAAGAGTCCTCCAAATCTTACACCTTAGTTCTCTAACATTCAGGACTAACAAGCACAAACTCAACAGGCACTGTATTTGAAATCTAAATTCCAAAATCAAAATTCCTGCTGAGATTCCCTGCTGATGGTCAGAGGAATATGATCTTTATGAAATGGATATTCAACATGAACCTACCTTTGGATTGTTTTAAAACCCCAGCTTCTCCTAAAGTGTGGTATGCATTGTCCTCATTTTGTCTGATGCAATAATTATTTGGTAATAATAGCATTTCTCTGTGCCAGGATGAGATACATTTATCTTCCAGGCAAAGAACCAGCAACTGTAAGGAAGAAAGAAAATAAACTCTCTTTGTAAGAAAACCATTAACAACAAAGTACTGCTTGAAAATTCAAAAAGGAAGTTTAGATACACGTCTAAAATTACTACCAGAAGGAAGATGAATATTCTGTAGTAACTGGAAAATGAATCAATTTTGAAATATCACCTAACAATTTTACACTGTGACATTCACAGTGAATTCCTTTTTATAATGGAGAATGACATAAGCTTTCATGCTTTGTGCATATTTAAAGTAAGAATATTCATGAATAAAAGCAGCATGCTTTGATGTATTTACAAAATGAGTTATGATCTCAAAGTTTGCTCCTCAGTGGAGCTTTTAAAAATCACTTAAGTGACAATTTTCTTTTGTGAAATACATTTTTCAGATTCACATGTCAATCAGAGAACTTCAAAGTAATTTTATTAAGGCTAATAATAAAATGGTATAATCTGAACATCAAATAGAAAGCTTAATTCAAAACGAAGATACTTTTTTTAACTGGAACTTGTATACTCAATGGAAATTAAGGGGGAAAGGGGGAGGGATTTGGAGGAACAAGCATGAAGGACACAAGGACTAGAACTAAGGGGGGTGGAAATGGGAGGGAGGTGGGGAGCACACGGTGGGGGGGGCTGGGATGGGAAAAATAGACAGAAAACTGTATTTGAAAAATAAGTAAATAAAATAAAAAATACAATATAAAAATTTAAAGCTTTATTCTATTCAGCTGTAGGAGAGCCATAAGAATTATGTGGAAGGAAAAGGGGGAAATGTCAACTATTTTAGTATTGAACTGCCATCATGATAAATAGCATGTTGGAAGATATTAAATAATACTGCCCTATCAGGTCATTTTTATATACGGAGGGGAAAAGTGGTACCACACAATCAATTTTTGGCACCAAAATCAAAACAAACATCAACCTTCCCCCAAAACACCTGGATTAATAAAAATAAAGTTCCTATGCCATTTTGGACTTAAATACCTCTTTAGTGCCTTGCACATAAAAAGTGCTCAGTAGATATTTTTACAAATAATGAAAGAAAATGTCCACTAGTCAACATATAGGTCAGACTGATACATTGATAAATGATAACTGAGGGTTGCAGAGATCAACATTACCTTTCTTTAAAAATATATTTTATTGATTATGCTATTAGAGTTGTCCCATTTCCCCCCCTTGACTCCCTTTCACCCTGTACACCTCCTCCCACCCACATGCCCCCTCTTTAGTCCATGTTCATGGGTCATACATATAAGTTCTTTGGCTTCTACATTTCCCATACTATTCTTACCCTCCCCCTGTCTATTTTCTATCTATGTTCTATGCTACTTATTCTCTGTACCTTTCCCCCATCTCTCCCTCTCCCACTCCCCTGTTCATAACCCTCTATGTGATCTCCATTGCTGTGGTTCTATTCCTGTTCTAGTTGTTTGCTTTTGTTTTTGTTTTGGGTATGGTTGTTAATAATTGTGAGTTTGCTGTCATTCTACTCTACATGTTTTTTTTCTTCTTTTTCTTAGATAAATCCTTTTAACATTTCATATAATAGGGGCTTGGTAATGTGAACTTTAACTTGACCTTACCTGAGAAGCACTTTATCTTCCCTTCCATTCTAAATGAAAGCTTTGCTGGATAGAGGAATCTTGGATGTAGGTCCTTGCCTTTCATGACTTGGAATACTTCTTTCCAGCCCCTTCTTGCCTGTAAGGTCTCTTTTGAGAAGTCAGCTGACAGTCTGATGGAAACTCCTTTGTAGGCAACTGTCTTCTTTTCCCTTGCTGCTTCTAAGATTCTCGCCTTATCTTTCATATTGGGTAATGTAATTATGATGTGCTTTGGTGTGTCCCTCCTTGGGTCCAACTTCTTTGGGACTCTGAGCTTCCTGGACTTCCTGGAAGTCTGTTTCCTTTGCCAGATTGGGGAAGTTCTCCTTTATTATTTGTTCAAATAACTTTTACACTTGTTGCTCTTCCTCTTCTCCTTCTGGTACCCCTATGATTCAAATGTTGGAACATTTAAAGATATCCTGGAGGTTCCTGAGCCTCTCCTCAGTTTTTTGAATTCTTGTTTCTTTCTTCTTTTCTGATTGGATGTTTCTTTCTTCCTTCTGGTCCACTCCATTGATTTGAGTCCCAGTTTCCTCCCATCACTATTTCTTTATTTCACTTAGCATTGCCTTCATTTTTTTGTCTAATTTGTGACCAAATTCAACCAATTCTGTGAGCATCCTGATTACCAGTGTTTGGAACTCTGCATCTGATAGGTTGGCTATCTCTTTGTCACTTAGTTGTTTTTTTCTAGAGCTTTGATCTGTTCTTTCATTTGGGCCATTTTTTTTTTGTCTTGATGCATGTGGTACATAGTGAGGGGTGGAGCCTTAGGTGTTCACCAGGCCAGGGTCACACACTTCTCTGTGTGGTGACACTGTATGTGGGGTAGGGGTCAAAGAGGGAACAAAAGTTCCTGCTCAGTTTTGTGCTGACTTTCAGTCACTTCCTGCTTCCCACAAGCAAAGTGAGCCTTCCTAGTGCCGATTCCCATGTGGTTGAGATTGTGTACATTCTAGGACCCTGTGGTCTCTCCAACAAACTCTCCTGTTGGGAGAGGCTGGGAATTTCTTCTGCTACCTCCACCTCCACAGTTGTCTTCAATTAGAGGTTTGAGGATTTATTTCCCTGCACTGGGGCCTTGGGTTGTGTAGTCTGTCCTGCTCCCCAGTTGTTTCTCCTGGTTTATCTATGTGTGAATGTGGGACTGCCCCATCTGCAATCCACCACCTTGCTGGCCCTCCAGCTGCTGCCTTATTGACCAGTTGCAGCCCTGCATGCCTCACTGGGTCTGCCAGCCACTAGGTTCTTCATTGCTGCTTTGCCATGAGTCCCCTCTGCCTGGCTGCCTGTCTCCACCTCTCCTACCAATCTGGATGAATGTGTCTTCTTTAAATCCTTGGTTGTCGGACTTCTATACAGTTTAATTTTCCACCAGTTCTGGTTGTTTTTTTTGTTTTTAAATTGTTGTTGTCCTTCCTTTGGTTGTGTGAGGAGGCACAGTGTGTCTACCTATGCCTTCATCTTGGCCACAAGTCAACATTACCTTTTGTTTCACAAGAAAAATATATAAAAAATTGTGATGTGATGTATTAAGTGTAACAATAGAGTCACATCAATTTTTTGTAGGAACATGATAAAGAATAAGTAACTCTCTTAGAGAATTTGTAGCAGTAGCTAAAGATTAATATATAAAATTGTTCCTGAAGCACAAATAAGATTTAACCATTCTAACACATGTGAGGCAACATCTCATTGTAATTTAATTTGCTATTTTCTTTTGATTAGTGGCATTTCGCATCTTTTTATATATCTATTGGCCATCTGTATGTCCTTTTTGGAGAAGTGTCTATTCAGGTACTTGTCCATTTTTTAACTGGGTTTTCTTTTTTTTTGGTATTGAGTTGTATGAGTCCTTTATATATTTTGGTTATTAACCCCTAGTTAGATTTATCATTGGCAAATATCTTCTTTTCTTCTGTGGATTGTCTTTTCTTCTTGTTGATGGTTTCCTTTGCTGTGTAAAATCATTGTAGTTTGGTGTAGTCCCCATTGTTTATTTTTTCTTTTGTTTCCCTCACCTGAGAAGATATATCCAAAAAAAAATATTACTAAGAGAAATGTCCAAGATTTTGCTGCTTATGTTTTCTTCTAGGAGTTTTATGGTTTGGAATTTTATGGTTTTGAGTCTTTTTTTTTTTTTAGTTTTTTTCTGTGGGGAGAGCACAAACACAGTCCCCCACTACTACAAATTATGCAGTCGAGTTTCCCATATTTGGTGAAATCACAGGAGGCAGCACATCTGGAGTGCAATGGATAAGCCTCATCCTGGGAAATCCACCTTCATGATATGGTACCCTTGCCAGGAAAGTATGGTTTTGAGTCTTATATTTGAGTCTTTAATCCCAAATGCCTGGCTGTTTTAATAATACTAGATGCATGTACAAATACCTTCTTTCATAGTGACACCCATTAAAACTAAGGTCAGTCTTGCTATACACATCTCTCACCACTCTTGCAGGGTCAAGTCCCACCACTGGGAGTTTCACCAGTCTGTCTTGCTTACTCCTAGCATATATCTATCCTCATTACTAGTTTTGTAGAGAGTGTAATATGTCTTAACATACATCTGATCTTTTTTGAAATGTTATAATCAATGACAATGGCTTTGACAATCTTGTAGATGTTAATATTCTTACTAAAAATTCTTAGTATTTCATTTTTATTCTTAATTTTCCCTATAACTAATTGTATTAAAGCAAAATTCTACTTTATTTTTAATAAATATGGATTTCCATTTTATAAACAGATAATCATTAATAGAAAAATTAACTCAAAAGAACTATATATAGCCCTCCTGGTGTGGCTCAGTGGGTTGGGCATAATGCTGCAAAGTGGAAAGGTCATTAGTTCTATTCCAAGTAAGAGCACATGCCTGGATTTTCTGTTCTGTCCCCAGTTGGGCCCAACATGTATGAGAGGCAACCAACTGATGATTCTCTTTCACATTGATGTTTCTCTCCTTCCTTCCCTTACCCTCTCTGTAAAAATAAAATAAAGTTTTAATTATGTAAATAAGTGCAAGTTGTATAATCAAAAATAATGCTAGATGCTTGTGACTGATTTCATTTTGAATATATCAAAGTCTGAAATGTCCAATATAAAAGCCACTAACCATACATGGCTATACCAATTTTAATTAATTAACATTAAATAAATTATTAAACATTCAGCTTCTCAAGTCACAATAGCTACATTATAGGTGGTGAGTAGCCACTAGCCAAATGTGGCTAGACTATGAGCAGTATATACAGAAGATCTCCATCATCACAGAAAATTTATATTGGATAACACTGATCTAATGTTGAAATATATTTATAAGGAAATAATGGACTAAAGACCAGACTAAAGTCCTTTCCATTGTGAAATCCTACCTTCCTTGTCTCAAGGGTAAAATGGATAGACAAATGCTTCATTTTTCTTGTTCTTAAAAGTTAAAATACAAAGAACTAAAAAGAAAAAGAAGTAAATTTTAAATAACCCCAAATTAGGTGATGCTACCTTGATGTAGAAATTTATTTCTGAATAGAGTAATGATTGATTCTTTTAATTTTTTGCTAAGGTACTTTTTCCTTTGACTCTTTCAATAGGTGATAAACTGCTCTTCTGTGGTCCTCACAAAATAAACTACAATTTTACACATTAATATGCTTATTTTTTTCTTTTTTTTAACTTTTTTTATTGATTATGCCATTACATTTGTTCTATTTCCCCTCCTCCATTCCCCTCCACCCTGTACACTCCTCCTCCACCATTCTCCCCCCTTTAGTTCATGAACACGTGTCTCAAGTTCTTTAGATTCTGTATTTCCCCTACTATTCTTATCCTCCCCCCTATCTATTTTCTATCTACTGTCTATGCTACTTATATTCTGTACCTTCTCCCCCCTTCTCCTTCTCCCACTCCCCTGTTGCTAATCCTCCACGTGATCTTCATTTTCTATGGTTCACTCCTGATCTAGCTGTCCTCTTAGTTTGCTTTTGTTTTAGGTGTGGTTGTTGATAACCGTGAATTTGCTGTCCTTTCCCTGTTCAACTTTTTTATCTTCTTTTTCTTAGGTAAGTTCCTTTAACATTTCATATAATAAGGGCTTGGTGATGATGAACTCCTTGAATTTGGTCTTATCTGAGAAGCACTTTATCTGTCCTTCCATTTTAAATGAAAACTTTGCCGGATAGAGCAATCTTGGTTGTAGGTCTTTGGTTTTCATGACTTGGAATACCTCTTTCCAGCCCCTTCTTGCCTGTAAGGTCTCTTTTGAGAAATCTGCTGACAGTCTGATGGGAAGTCCTTTGTAGGTGACTGTCCCCTTATCTCTTGCTGCTTCTAGGATTCTCTCCTTCATTTTAATCTTGGCTAATATAATGATGATGTGCCTTGGTGTGTTTCTTCTTGGGTCCAACTTCTTTGGGACTCTCTGAGCTTCCTGAATTTCCTGGAAGTCTATTTCCTCTGCCAGAATGGGGAAGTTCTCTTATATTATTTGTTCAAATAAGGTTTCCAATCATGACTGTTCCTCTTCCCCTTCTGGTACTCCTATAATTCGAATGTTGGAACGTTTAAAGATGTCCTGGAGTTTCCTAAGCCTCTCCTCATTTTTTTGAATTCTTGTTTCTTCATTCTTTTCTCTTTGGTCATTTTTTCCTTCCTTCTGGTCTACTCCCTTGATTTGAGTCCCAGTCTCCTTTCCATTACTATTGGTTTCCTGTGCATTACCATTCATTTCAATTAGGTTAGCTTTCATATGTTTCTCTAATTTGTGACTAAAATCAACCAGTTCTGTGAGGATCCTGATAACCAATGTTTTGAACTGTGCATCTGAAATTTTGGCTATTTCTTCATGGCTTAGCTTTATCGGCTCTGGGGCTCTGAGTTGTTCTTGAGCCATTTTTCGTCTGTTCGTGCCTTTAAGTATGAGGAGTGGAGCCTTAGTTGTTTACCAGGGCGGGGCCACCCAGGATGCTGGATTGTGACCCTGTATGTGGGGGCGGGGTCAGAGAGGGAGCAATGGTGGTCCTCTCCGCTAGCCCAGTCCATCCCACCACTCGCTCCAGCCTGTTTATCCGAGTGGAATTGTGCAAGCCTGCTGCCCTGCACCGTGCGGTCTCAATGCTCGCCTCTTCACTGGTTTATCTGCCGCAGACAGCCAGCCACGCTTCTTCCCTGTGTCCACCAGTAGCTAGCCTGCACCTGTGATCCGTGCCTTTGGCTGCTTATGCACCACCCGGTAGGGGATCTTTTTGGTCAACCCGCTCCGCTGCTGGCTTCGCCCCTCTTACCAGTTTAGCTGAGCATTTTGTTGTTTTCAGACTCCGTATTGTTGATTTTCTGTGTGTTTTGGTTGTGTTTATTATTGTTAAAAATTTGTTGTTCTTAGATTTGGTTGTGCGCTGACACAAGGTGTTTCTACCTACACCTCCATCTTGGCGGAAGTCCTTAATATGCTTATTAATCAAATAACTATAAAATTTTTTAATTAAAAAATGAGTTAGCAGAAACACAGCCTTTCCACCCAGGGTGGGCAATGTAACACCTTAATAAACAGTAGCTAATTTCATCTATTAGGGAATCCCATCATTTTACAAAAATATTTTCAGTCCCTTTGATGAGCCCAGTGGGAAAATTTTAAGGAAATGAGACCTTCCTGTTTCTTCCACACGTAGATGATTATCCAGCTGCATCTCCAAAATAAGAATGCTGAAAAATTCTTTTAAAAAACGCCTTTCAGCTGAATATCAAATGACATTTGCATGTTTCTAAAACTATGGTTCATGTGGTTCATTATGGAATTATGATGGTTCCCCTGTTTCTGCCTCTAAATACAAATAAGTAAGAGTTCAGTGATTTGAGCCTACAGACTCTCCTTGCAGATTTTTCTTCCTTTACATGATAGCTGGATCATAAGCAAAGAATGTTTTCAAAGAGGATAAATTCAACTCATTTACTTGAGGGCAAAGGTAACTTGTATTTCTAACTGTAAGCGTATGTTTTACTGTTTTATAAGAATGTATTAGTTACTCTTTATTAATATTTTTATCTTTTAGAATGTTTTCTTCTATTTGCATCTAAGAAAAAGTATGTCACAATAATAATGCCATACTTTGCTTAGCAAAAATATATTTTACAGATGTTACTCTTTTATTACACATGCAGGGTGGGGCAAAAGCAGGTTTACAGTTGTTCATGTGGAAAGTAATACAATAACTCATAAACAATAATACAAGAACAAACTGTGTTTTATTGTTCCCCCACCCTGGATAGCTCTAAAGGAGCTTTAGGCAGGCAATCTAGTCTAGTCTATATTCCAGAGAGTGTTGATGAGGCCTGAGCTGGTGACAGCACCAAGGCACATTTTATGGTAACAAGAGAAAACACAGTATCTGAGAGGCAAAAAACAGGTCAAGAAAGTGATTGTGTGCTCTGGCTTTAGCATTATGATCACCATGCTTCCTTCTGGGAGGGGTCAGTTCCTTAGAAAAGTAAACATTTACTCCAGTGTTACATTTAAGATTTTAAAACCCTTGGACACTTTTCGTATAATGTTAAGAAGTACAAAGAAGGATAATAATGTGAGAGCAATCAATTAAAAAATATCAATACTAGGTAATAAAAAAGATAAAACTTTATGAATGAAAGTAAATTAATTTAGACAAAAAATTCCTTAATGTAGAAAAAAGAAGTTTAAAATATGGTGATGCCTATTTGGTATGAGACATTAAAATGTAAATCATCTTCAAATAGAAAACTAAAAATAAACACAAAATTATAGTGCTAAAACATGACAAGTATAAAGCCTAGAAAGAGATGTGGGTCAGAACTAGAAAGATGTTCTGTGATTTAGAAGCTGGTAATTTGAAAGAAAAGTTGGCGTCTGAGAGAGGTGAAAGAGGGAGGGAAGGATAAATATTTTTCAAAAACACTCCTAGACCAGGAATTTATGTGACTCAGGCGTGACACATAACTGAGGTTTCTGATATGAGTCTAAAAAGTTATGACTAATTTCTGTATAATTCTTTTGTGCTATATTTCTGTTTGTGAAAGCTGAACAGTTTTGTCACGAAGTTTTAATATCTGGAAGTTTTTCTCAGGAAATAATAAAAATACATGTTCTTTCATTTCTCTTATTCTGCCACAATTAAGCCCTGGCTTCATTCCTCACCTACTACAGGACTATGAGCAAATTACCCAGCCTCTCTGTCTTGGTTGTCCCATCTGTAAAATGGAAAGACTAATAACATCTATGACAAAAAGTTTTTATAATGATAAAGTGAGACAGTTCAGATGATAAAGTGCCTGGAATATAGTTAAGTTCTC